ATGTGACTCGCTGACGCAACAATACAATAATATCAAACATATTGTGCTGTAAATAATTCCACTAACGTGATACTCAAAAGTTCTACATGCCAATCTTTTATTTTTCTTACGAAGCTCTTTGTCTGATATATTGTACAAGAGTCGAGTTAACTGTAGGCGTAGTGTTGTTACATCTTATCAAGAAAATGATTGGAATATTTCAAATGGAGATTATTACTCTGAATATTTTCTTTTGCTATCATTTAAAAAACCATCATTTTATGATTCTATACTAACGGACTTGTTTTATACTATTGTTTATTTATTACTGCTAGTTTCGATTTTTGAAATGGTGCTACGAAAACATAAAACACCGTCAAACGACCTAAAAGCACTGTATATATATTTACGTATATACTATTATTGAAATGTTTTCATTCCTCAGCTTTGTATACATTTACTATTAATACAAAAAGCTTACATCTTTTTTCGCTACCAATAACATTCAACTAAGTTTCGTTGAACAATGTATTAACAATCTTCGAAAATATTATCTTCAACAAAAATCATATTTAATTTTCTGATTGCAAATATCTGCACAGTGCACATGGGAAGAATATTTGAATATTGTTGTTCTACCTGTGGTTTCATGAATGTGAAATTTAATAATGTATTTTTGACAAAGCTTTCGAATAATCAAACTAAACGGTACCTCATGCGCATGTGGACTAAATTGCCAGGTCAGAGACCCCTAGATTGAGGTATAACAGTCTGCAAGCCAGTCAACAGTACCTACAATACAGGGGCTTTGTCCAGGTTTTAAAAGTAAATAACGAGATTCACTGTCAATTTATAGCGCATCCACAGCTAAAGTGTGAAGTGTATTCAATGGTATTACGTCTTGGACCTTGGATCTTTCGCTCTGCAGCCAGACACACTAACCATTAGGTGCGTCTTTGGATATATCACTCATGTTGTATTCTACTAAAAACAACAGCAAAAACATTTAAAAACTAAACCTAACAGCGTATGCTATTTGTACGGTGAAAGTAACATTAAGAATTCATTGAAATAGTATTTATAAACATCAAGAAAAAATATTCTGCAGACGGTTAAAGCATACTCCCTTTAGTATTGAAAAAATAGAATTTTAATACTTCAACACAGATTTTATTAATTTTGGTAATTATCTTATATATATTGCGAACCGTGGTGTCTATCCGATCGTTCGTCTGTCTTCCGCTTGAGAAGCTGCGCACGCAGGCAAAGCTCAACATTCACCCTTGAAATGACTAGAGAACAGATATGAATAATGTTGATGTCAAATTTTATTTCGCAAGCAGGATATTCTACACTAAACTGTTAGGAATTAATCACACTATAATTTACATTTCAAAATGTGACGTAACTTAAATAATGAAAATGTAGATTTACCGTATGTTACTGTTGAGCAGCATGTCTGAAATGCTCAACAATTAGTTTTCGCGGTTGGTGGTATAAGTAGCTCAGAGCTTTGGCTCTGAGTGACACTAAGAGTAAAACACAATTAACTTATTTAAAGTACATGAAATAATTTAATCTGAAAGATTAACTTAAACTTTTCCTGTCACTGGGGACGGGTTCCTTTGCTTGTTTTATATATTTTCATTTGATAGTTTATCAGATGTGTTTTTTGAATTCACAGTGACTAATGTGGAACGTGATAAGCTTTGCCTAATGTTGATAAATGTGCATAATAAGTTATGTTACAAAAAAAGATTCAAGTATCAAAAATAAGATAATCTCAGAAGATGAACTCAAAGCGTATAATTAGTAGAGATTTGTCTCTTTACATTGGTCTTAAAAACACATATTTAATGCTAAATTATGTGTAGAAAGATGAATATTTGTCCTTCCTACGATCTCTAGAACTAATTGTAGAGATGCAGTCTAATATTGTCACTATAATGAGACTTTAGGTTGTTGTATATTTGAAAATACAAAACATGTTATCTAATTTCAGAACTGTTGAAGTGTGAGGCTAAAGATATATAAATCAGGAAACTAACATTAAGAAAACTTTCTTATAACGAAAGCTATGAGCTTAACCTTTATTTTCAAAACTTCTTCTCAGATGAGTAAGGAAAACAACAGTGATATTCTCAACAGAGAAAACAATTATTGTATTAATTTTTTACTAGTTATTAGATGTTTGTTAACTCTTAGGGATACACAAGCCAGTTAAAACAAGCCTTTATTTAGTTTGCACTACTTTAATGCTGCGTTTGCAAAGCTAAAAACATAACACTTACTTTCAAATTTCTACTTCGAAATATATATTTGTTCCTGCGGTTATTCAATTTTGGACACTGTACTTGTAAGATAGCAAATAAATACGAAATGGTCTGATTATTAACTTGAAGTTATATATATACGTATATATACACAGAATTATGGATATTTTTGTCAATTACGTAATAGTAGTAATGTGTAGCGTGACTTTTCGTTTTATTCTTTTTAGGAAATGAAAGATGTCAGGTGAAACTTTTCTGAGTATTATATGTTCTCAGGAAGAGCTTAGAGAATAAGGTTCATCTCTGACACGGAAATAGCACTCTTGTGATTTCCTATCACGTGCATCTGTCTAATAAAATATAAGTTTCAACAGAATTTGAAGAATGACACTCTCAAGGTCTTGAAATACACAAACGTTCACATCTTCTCTATACCTCCTGAAAGCCTAGCAATGAATATAATAACATATATTATTGTAGTATTCTTTTCATTCATTGTTTGTCACGGAAATGATCAAAACTCGACAAATATAAGCAAATCTATCAAATCTTTTCAAGCAGATATAGTAAGTATTTTTGTTACAGA